ACAAGATCCAGTAACAATGGTGGGAATCTTGTTACTGGTCCCCAAGAGACATACAAGTGGTTATCAGACTCTATGTATGCAGGGTTTGCACTATTCTTATTATATGTTTGTGTTTTATTATCTGGTGCAGGGCAAATATCTGAAATAAAAGCTATAGAAAGCTCTTAGTTCTTGTAGAACTACAACTATCTCTATACCCTACTGTCATGAAATGCAATTCTCCACACTACCAGCCAGAGACTTGCCCCAATAAGTGCTCTATGTCAGACTTGTGATCCCAGCCTTCCTTCCCTGAATGTGATAATATTATGATGAGTAGAGTAATGAAGGACAGGACTCTGATCAGCTGTGCCTTGAGTATAGTAGTGGGGTACACTTACAACTAATGTCAGGTTTATGACATGAAATGACATGGTCCTGCACTGAATATGTTAATGCTCCATTATTGGAGTGCTACCCTGATCAGCTGTTCTCTGTGTACAGTAATCAGGCAGCCTTGTCATTCCAGTGTTTGCTATGGGTCAGTGCTGCACCCTGCTGATCAGGGATACTCAAAGTAGGGTGGGGATCTACCTGCAACTTACTCTGCCTATAAACATAACAATGGGGCACTTGGGGCTCTCCAAGTCTATTCTTATGATTAGTGACCTGCAGTGTCCTTCTACACCTTTCTCCCTACACTTCATGAAGCAAGTAAAGTAAAGAGAACCCTCCACCAGATAATAGAACACAAACATATAACAAGTATAATAATGGGAACCCTGCACCAGATAATAGAACACAAACATATAACAAGTATAATAATGGGAACCCTGCACAAGATAATAGTGTATAGTGAGAACCCTGATAATACAATGCAAAAATGCAAGTGTAGTAAGAACCCTGCACCAGATAATACGACACAAACATATCATAAATATAGTGAGAGCCCTGCACCAGATAATACGACACAAACATATCATAAATATAGTGAGAACCCTGCACCAGATTATATGACACAAACATATAATAAATATAGTGAGAACCCTGCACCAGATAATACAACACAAACATATAATACGCATAGTGAAAACCTTGCACCAGATAACACAACACAAACATATAATGAATATAATAATGAGAAGCCAGCACTAAATAATACAACACAAATATATAATAAGTATAGTGAGAACCCTGTACCATAATAATACAACACAAACATATAATAAATATAGTGAGAACCCTGCACCAGATAATATGACACAAACATATAATAAATATAGTGAGAACCCTGCACCAAATTTATATGAAACAAACATATAATAAATATAGTGAGAACCCTGCACCAGATAATACAACACAAACATATAATACGCATAGTGAAAACCTTGCACCAGATAACACAACACAAACATATAATGAATATAATAATGAGAAGCCAGCACTAAATAATACAACACAAATATATAATAGGTATAGTGAGAACCCTGTACCATAATAATACAACACAAACATATAATAAGTATAGTGAGAGCCCTGCACCAGATAATACAACACAAACATATAATAAATATAGTGAGAAACCTGCACCAGATAATACAACACAAACATATAATAAATAAAATAATGAGAAGCCAGCACTAAATAATACAACACAAATATATAATAGGTATAGTGAGAACCCTGTACTATAATAATACAACACAAACATATAATAAATATAGTGAGAACCATGTACCAGATAATATAACACAAACATCTAATAAATATAGTGAGAACCATGTACCATAATAAGACAACACAAACATATAATAAATATAGTAAGAACCACCATAATAATACAACACAAACATATAATAAATATAGTGACAGCCCTGCACCAGATAGTAGAACACAACAACGACGTATCTACAGAACATTTATATCATCCAATATAAATAATAAATCTTTACAAAATATCAAGTTAAATTATGTAAATTCGTTTAAATTTGTCAGTTTTATAAGCATTCTTTTCACGAGTGTTTTAGTGATACATGTTACATAATATAATTACAGTAATTTCTATATAAATAGTATATATATGTGTACACTTTATATTGCTGATGTCATTTATAGATTGTATTACATAACTCCTTTTGCACCAGTTGCCTATTACACGAATATACAAAGAATGTGTGATACTTAAACGTCTCATTGAGAATTGTACAGTTTAGGGGGTATTACGTAAGATGATGTCCTTCTAGATCGGGTGCCCCTTAAACACTCTCTACTATAGATCAAGGAAAATAAGATTTGTTATCATCATCATCAGCGGACTCTACACAAACACATCGATCAGATTGGAGCATCAACAACTTCGACCAGATTATGGGAGAAACTCAGAATTAATATTCAATGCCTCTATAGATTATTGCAGTTGAGTGTCAAGTGTTGGGTGTAAATATTATCGAATCGTGTCCTTAATTTAACTAATCAGCGCGGAGATCAATATATTTTAATTGAAGGATCTTTTCAGATGTAATAGGTTTATTGTCACATAAGTTGCTGTACCTATGTAATCATTGCTCAGGACCCTGCAACAACAGGGGTGACAGTATACATATATACATGCACAATGTGTAAAATAAATGAATAAAATAAATACATCAAAATATATATCTAATATTTAATATGTGATTGGTAGGTAGGTAGATAGACAGACAGACAGACAGACAGACAGACAGATAGATAGATAGATAGATAGATAGATAGATAGTGGTGGTGTGTTTGTGTGTGTGTGTGTGTGTGTGTGTGTGTGTGTGTCAGGGAGGCAGTATATGGAATGTTTCAATATATGGAACTATTTGTAACAAAAATGATGATTGATAGTCCTTAGAAAGAGGCAGATCATTTATTATAAGTCAGTCAGTGGAATCTCCAGTGGCCACACTTAGATGAAGCCTGATTGGCCAGTAGCCGGTGGCTAGGAGGGAGGAGGCAGATACTGCTGGGATTGAGGATGGACTTATGGTCCACTGTAGCCCCCTCTCACCTCCTCCCTCCTTCTACTTTGACTTCCCTTTTAACCCATCTGCCTTGTTTTGCCTTCAAACACAAGCAAGAACCCACACAGCCCGCATAATACATACTATCGTCACCCTCCTTATCCCAGAGCTGGGGATAGGACAACATGATGAGCCATGAGATGTGATTAAACCCACTCGAGCTATAGGAGTGAAGTGGAATTAGGAGGACTGCACTCTCTGCAAATCTTATCTACAACTCCGGAGGATTTCTATAACAAGTCGGTGAGTAGCACATACCTATGGATGTCATATACATGTCCCTGCTACTCCCAGGATGATACCATAAACTTGACATGAGTTTCAGCTCAGCCTGGGAGTCCAGTGACCGGCAGAGCTGTGGGGTGTCAATGCTTTCTTTTTAATGTGGAGAGATGTGTTCATTATTTGTGACCTCTCCCCTGACCTCATGTTCTGCCATGTGTGTGTCACGACCCCGTTTTGTTTCTTGTATTGGCTGCCATTGATCAGGACCATTAGATCAGATTCATGAAAGTTTCCTCCTCTTCTCTGCTCCACATTCTCTATTATCGATCATTAGAAAAACGTTATTTTAAGCGGAAACACACAGACTGGTTAAGCCGGCTGTCTGTCTGTCTGGAATTGGCTGATTTCGCTGTAAAATTCCTACTGACATAATGGCGACAACCCTGTGTAGATTAGATCAAAAGTCTAACAAAATCAGATCATGGTGACGATCTGACTCCTAATTCCATAATGTATTGTACATGCTGTGTGTGTTCTGTTATTATTCATTCTTGGTATTTCATCTTGTTATTTGTGGTGTTTGTGTTATTTGTGGTATAGGCGATTTGTAGTAATTGTTCAGTTTATAATCAGTAAAATTCTGATTCGTACAATGAGATTGTTATTCGTATTCAGCAATAGTAAGGTGTGATAGATGTTTAATTCCATGAGTCAATTTCTAATTGCCATTTTTAAGTCGATTATTGTTTATTCGCCATTTTTTTCTAATCACTTTCCCATAATGGTAAAATTAAAATTGTGATCCTGAACCTTTTCCCTGGTCCCTAAGTTGTGTCTGATCCCTTCATACACAACATTTACAGATAAAGAAGTTCATGTATACTAGATATATACTGGATAATATAAATCGCAGGGATCATCCAGTACTTGGAGCTCTTCCATCCTCTGGGCACTCGTTACCTCCGATGTGATAGAAGAAATTCGTTTATTCGTTAACAAAAGTTCTCGTTCCTTATAATACAAAAGATCGGAACATATTCCTTTATCTCGTTCTGAAGCAGTATGTTTGCTTATATTCGTTGTAATGTAAAGTGAATGGTAAGAGGTTTATGTATTTTCTTATTTGTTTACATTTTCTAAACAATATATAATCACACTGAATTACTAAAGACCAAACTCATCCTGCTATTAATGGATCATCCATTGAGAAACAATGCGAATTTTCAAACGAATATGAAAATGACATAATTCACCTTGCTAGAATTAGTCAGATCTGTCAGAGTGAATGTTTACCCCATCCTGTGTCAGAACCCCAATACACACTGCAATCACAGTGATCGGGCTATCTCATATTTTATTGTTTTCCACACTCTTCATAAATCGAGGAATCATATCTTTCTTTAAATTTCTCAATTTGGGATTTTAAACATCAGACAAAACGAAAAAATATACGAAAAGGGGAGAACAATGTGTAGCAGAAGAAGAGGTTGTCACGTTGTTAAAGAATGGGAAATATATTTCAATGTGAAATTTCGTTTCCTCATTTTATAATGCAGATCCATCTATAGCAGCGAAGCTATGCGAATTGTTTATTTTTTTATGTTTGAATGCATATTTATTACAGGAAAATACAAACGGTGTTTCATTTTAAGCCATTTTAAGGACATCTTTGCAGGAGGTGCGATGTAATTTGTCACTTCTGATCTCCCATGTTTGTCACTTTCAGGGAGGCACTGGTCGGATCTTGGCAGGATGGCATTGTCTATACCCAGCACCCTCACGAGACCTGTGGACAGAAGCTTTCCCATTGACAGGCTTCCTATAAGCCCCCCCACCATAGGCCCTTATTTCCCCTCATTCTTGCCCCATGGTCACTACCTGGGCATCCTGGCAAACCCTCATGACATGTTCAATCCTTTGAAGTCACTGGGCAGACTGGTCAGCAAATCTTCACCATTAGGAGCCTTCAATTTCAGAGAGCTTCCCTCTGTCCTCACCCAGAGTTCTCCCCCCAGCCAGACCCCGTTCAGCCCTTTGCCCAATCCATATACCATCTTCAGTAAAGTGCAGCCTGGACTGAGCAGTAAGGAGGACCTGCAGACTAATGGACAGCAAAGGGAACCCCGAATCCCCTCCAGCACCCCGGAGAACCCTAGAGCACACGTAGCCATCAAGAGGTGTAAGGGGGTCTCTCTGAGTATGGCCAGTTTAGAGGGGGCACCAAGCAGGACCTACCAGTTCACAGAGGACGATCTGCACACTGTGCTCTATGGGTACACCTGTGGCACCGAGGCAAAACGTGCCCAACATGCCATCTCTGGGCTAAGGATACCAGCCGGCTCTGCAGGTCAGTACCGCTCATTGAACGCAATCCCAAAAATACATTCCATTCTCCAATGTGCTCCATACCTGACCATACACCATATATATCTGTGCAATCTACTTTACAACAGCAGTTATCTAATGCAAGGGCTGCCCGATTGTATGCACATCGAATGCAATTGTAACATCTATTGTCAGATGTCTAGCTCATTCTTCCATAGAGCATGCTAATTATATTCCATCTATCTATCTATCTATCTATCTATCTATCTATCTATCTATCTATCTATCAATCAACATCTATCTATCTATCTATCTATCTATCTATCTATCTATCTATCTATCAATCAACATCTATCTATCTATCTATCTATCTATCTATCTATCTATCTATCTACATCTATCTATCAACATCTATCTATCAACATCTATCTATCAACATCTACCTATCAACATCTATCTATCTATCTATCTATCTATCTATCTATCTATCTATCTATCTATCTATCTATCTATCTATCAACATCTATCTATCTATCTATCTATCTATCTATCTATCTATCTATCTATCTATCTATCTATCTATCTATCTATCTATCTATCTATCTATCCAATCTCTCTCTACTTATAGAAACTAATACGAATTTCCCAGTTTTACTTTACGGAGCATTTAAAAACTCCATCTATAAATAACGTTAATGCGACATTTTCTTTTAGTTTGTCTGTGTCGGTAGTTTTCTTTTTTTACATCAAGTCTCTTATGTGTACATTGTGCAGGGCTGGACCCCCAAATATTGGACAGGGAGACCCTCCAGCTGCCAGAAGGTAAATACAAGTTGATATGACATGAATGGATTACAATAACTGAAGGCAATCTGACTAATTGGTCGTGTTATTTCTCCGATGACATCTATATTGTTTTCTCTCAGGTTTAGCCATCATGAAGACCAAGTATGGGGATAGTCCCAAATCAGGTGTCTTCAGCACCAACATCATCCCCAAAGGGCTGAAATTCGGTCCGTTTCAGGGGAAAGTGGTCAATACAAGTGAAATAAAAACCTATGATGATAACTCACTGATGTGGGAGGTGAGTGCAACAACAATTCATTCTAATCTCTAATACTAAGAACATAAATCAACAGGAAATACACTAAAATGACATGGAGACATGTAATTCGTTGTGGGTATAGGAAAACATCGTATTTGATCTGAACAGTTACATAATATAACTACAATCTAAACAATGACAGTCAGATATTGTGTGGCCGTTTTTACCTTAATCTGTGTTTTGTTGATTGGTGAGTTTATAGTGATACTTACTGGTCACGGATAAAGATTGAGAGAACCTTTAAATATTGGAGTGTATTTTCACCTATTGACATTGTAACTGCTTGTGATACTTCCTACTACTCTTGTGTTGTTCTAAATTAAGAATGAGAGAAGAATAATAAAAATAAATGTATAAAAAAAAGAATGAGAGAAGAAATACCAAAGATTTCCAGACTTTGAAAGATTCCTTTTTAAAAAAGAACAAGTTAACTAAAATGGTCTTGAAATGAAATGGAATAATAATAAAATAATAATAA